AAAGGCAACATAATCCATTGTGTTTATAGTTGATCTGAAAAACTGATACATAAGAAATGAATCAAGGGGCTGGCAAGATAGCTCAGCAGACTGAGTGCCTGCTTAGGCAAGTCAGGGACCAGTGTTCGATTCCTGGCACTACACACCACGCCAACCACACCCCCAGGCATGCTGAGCTGGCCACCAAGCCTGGGCATGGCGGCACATGCCTGTAATCCCAGCACTGGGGAAGCTGAAAACAGGAGAATCCCTATGAGTCTGAGCTGTATAGCAAGACCCTATACCAAATACATTAACAAAATATAGTTTTTAAGAAATGAATAAAGTCATTGTGGAAGGCTGGTACATATAACAGGGGAGAAGCAACACTTTTCTTCATATACTTTTTATAGTTTGATTTTTTAAATCAAGTGGGTGTATTGCCTACTGAGAAATAACATAGTGATAATTTTAAGCCTCTTGCAAAAAATGAAGTGTGTATGACTCATCATAGGAAAGCAGCTGCTGCAGTGACCCAGTGCTCAGCAATTCAGCTCCAAGGCCTCTGTTCCTTGTCTGCTGCTCTCCGTGCTAAGCAGACAGTGGCAGGGCCTGTGCTCCTCACTGCAGAAAGGTGGCGCAAAGGATGTGATGGCTGTTAGAAGCAGGCACCAAGCAGCCCTATTCTGCAATACCTACTAGAGCTGGTGGGGCAGCAGCTGGTGTGTAAAGAAAGCAGAGGTGGCCCTGCAGCCCTGGCTGGGCAATGGCTCCCTTTCCATGGCTACTGGATATAGGACCACTTCACCTCCCTGGCCCAAAAGGGATGATGGGCCAAGAAGAGTGACAACTGTTGAAGACATCTCCCCCTTAAGGAAGCCAAATTCCTACTCATTTCTGAGAGCTTAATTTACTGCAGCCATTGTAGGGAGAACATTGGCAGTGTTTAGCTTTTTTTTAATGCTCTGTGACTCAGCCGTTTCACTCTGATGTGTCCCCCTAAAGAAACCCAGTGGAGGATGTTTATGGGCGCATAGTTTACAAATGCTCCAGAAGGAGCTGGCATAAACCTGTTCAGTGGTAAGGAAGAAGGGCAACAAGCCATGGGAGGGTAAACAGAAAGGAAAAGATACTGAAACGGAAAGATACCCAGGCAAATCATCGAGAAAAGAGGGCGAGTTGTACACAAAGAGGTACAGAGCAACGGTGTTTAGAGTTTTAAAATCATCACACAGGCTCAGTGCATAACTCTGCTTCCGAGGACCTGCACAGGCAGACAGTTCGGGAAAGGCAGTGACCGCACTGAATAGAGTGAGACAGAGGGTCACAATAAACAATGCTAGCTTTCTGTATAACATTTAATTTTTAAAGGAAGACTCTATTTGTGAATTATTTATGTAGCTGTATTTAATCCTTTGCATTAAAATATTCAAAATGCTTGAATTTCCATTCCTGAGTCCGAGCTAAAGACTAAAATTGGCCCCCAAGGACTATTCGGCTCCTGGGCCGGAGCCAAGTTCTCACCCTGCTAACCCCTCTCCATCCCTCTGCTCTAGGTGTCCTTGGCCTAGAAGAGAAAAATAGTCTGCATCTAAAATGGAACAGGTCAGATGATTTGAGTGGGGCGCCAGATCCTCCCGGCACCCAGCCAAACACAGCAAACAGAACTGGAGGAAGTTTTCTGATGGACTAGAAAGTTAACCTGCATGCACCTCTGCCGGAAGCACACCAGCACGGCTCCTGCCAGCTTTCAGGGAGACCCTGCGTGCCTGCAGAGTGACAGATGAATGCGTTGTAACCTTGACCTGATGCCTCACATGATGTCCTAGTCACTAAGGACAGGCAGTGACTTGTCCCATTGGCTTGGGCTGCAGGAAGTGGGTAGCTGGTTGGGGGAAGGTAAAGGACCCAGGAGCATATGGGGGCACACTTGGAAGGAGGGCAGATTGAGGGGTGGCTGGCTGCTACAACACCTCAGGCAGAGGTGGAGGAGAAGTCAGTGTGTCTTCTGCACAGGCCTCCAGTCCTCCCTGATTCCTCAGACCCCATTACAGTCTTGCTGAGCTACCCACAGACATCTGGTTCAACCAGAAATCAAGCTGAGGATGACCTAGAGGATTGGGTGATGCCAGCCCAAAAATGCATGACCACAGCTGGAGCCTGGGTCCTCAACTGGCAGTGTGAAAGCAAGCTGAGGGATAAGATTTTTTTCCCTGGGAAGTACGCGGCTGGGCTTATTTGTAT